GGCTATGGTTCTGCAAATGTGCATTATAATATCACTGCTGATAATAACTGATATTATTAAATTATATTGCGGAAGAAGCGACTGCATTCGGCCGCCGTTTCGTTTTCAATACACTCATGTGCACGTACACAATAATAACGAAGGTACCTTAGACACATTATGTACGAAGCGAAACGTGATCGTAAATACGGACAATATATAAGGCTGTTGAAGTTTAATATTGCAAAAGATTTATCCGGAACTCGACGGTCGTACGGCGTAAATAATTTTATATACAGTATTAAAATATAATCGTGGCGGGTGCGTGACGAATTTTTCGCAGCTGTTACAAAACCGATTTTTTTTTGCATCCATCGTTATTCGATAGGGCTGTAAGGAATAAGCGGGGGTAACTAAACTTTTTTAACCGAAGATACTTTTTCCGTTAATTATTATAATATGTTGCGTCTGAGGAAAATCGCACGTTGTATTATATGATTTGAAATATATCCACTACGCAAGTAGAACAATAAATTCTTGAGAGAGGACACGAAACAAAAATTCTCCATTTTCAATAGTAGTAATCATACTTTTTATCATACATTTTCATGTAAAAATATCGGTTAAAACAAATTCTATTGCATTTATAAGGATTTGACAATCATTGTAGCCTTGTAGGTACAATGGTGGCAATAGGTTACTCCGCCCATCTAGAATTACCTTCTTCTATAAAATATCGGTTAAATTTTTGATGAAATAAAAAATAGGTAAGTACTTACGATGATTCAAAACAATTTTTAAAAAAAACCGAAACATATAAATCCTCCAAGTATAGTGTAAAATGGTGCACACGGCTTGACCGCGCTGGGGTCAATAAATATAACTACTTATAAAACCATAATTATAATAATACTACACATTAACCTGGCTATTTTTTTTACTATTCGCGTGTGCTCCAGTGTTATTATTCGACAGCGACACGAAAGCGCCATCACTATAATATTATACACTTATATAATATGTATCAGTATAGAACAACACTTGTACGCACGAATCGCCAATTGTCCAAGAAATGCTACGGTTTTGTATTTTTGTATTTTTTTGGGGGGAAACCTGCCTTTTATGTTACATACAATTTAGATATTATTTGGATATATGTATTGCAGGATATTGCTCGATAGGAATACAGATAGAAATAGACAGGGTCGCCATTTCAAAATATGGTAAAATAAAGTTTTTAAAGTTGTAATAACGAGTTAAAAAAATATAGTGAGTTAAATCTTTTTTTTTAAATCCATAGTATCTAGTAGACATATGTCTATATTATTATTATGTTATCATATATTATTTGATCATGAGTAAGATAAAACCATTTTTGACAATACGCATGGTCAAGTGCACCATCTGTGATACGAAATCAAATATGTCAACGTTCTTGCTTGAAAATGTAATTCAAGTTTATGATTAACTTTGAAAACTACTTATAATTAGGTCCATTTTCAAACATCAAAAAATAAAAATATCGTTTCAAATATTTAAGAATTAAAAAAATTAATTTTGTTATAACTAAGCCTGATCGTCTTCAATAATGCAATAACAATAATTTTAACACATTAACAATACCGTTCTTATAAAGCAACTATTAGAACCACAAAATTAAAATACAAATACAAAATAATAATTCAATGTAATAATATAATGAAAAATCTGGAAATGATAAACTATATACACAATTAAAATAATCAAGACAATGCCAAGATGCTAAGATACTAACCATAAAAAATTCATAATATACTATATCGACATTAAAAATTTTAAATGTGAAAAAAAGTCCAATAATAGTAATAATATCTCAAAAAGGAGACTAAAAATTACTTAAGTTTCACGTTAGTAGTGCTGCAGACATATTACAAAATGGTTAATCTTCCGACTGTTATTGGATTAGAACCAGGTCCTTAGTCAGTCGTATATATATTGCAGCGTATAGTGCAATAACATCGACACCATCTCGACCGACACACGAGGAAATCATAACGGTGCACGGTCCTTGTCCTTTTTATATTTTCCACATAAACTAGTTTACGGTTAATTTTTTTTTATATACCACGATTTTATTATTTTAATAACGCGTCACCGCGCGCACTAATGATCTCGTGGTTTTCACGACTGAACAAAAAAAAAATAAAAAAAATAGAAAAATAATATATAAAGATAAAAAGATTTTGTAGGTACGTACTACGTATACCCATATAATATATTCGACTCAGCGTCTGCGGTGGTTTACACGAAGACAGGATGATTATAAAACAGTGCCATCTAAAAGACATCAAAGTCAGAAAGACAATAGTTGCTGCATGCAACACCAATATAAAAATAAATATATTAATATGCACTGTGACGACGGAAATATGCAACGATAGTGATTCTATTTTTACGGAATAACGTGCGAGACGTTAAACGATGATAATGAAGATATTATTATAGTACGACGGTTTCGAATTAATTTTTTTTTTTTTTTAATGACCAACATGGCCTGTCTTTTGGTTATTATTTTGTTTGTTTACGCATTACGTTTCCAAGTACAGCATTATATAGTAATAATAATATAATACATTGTATAAAATATAGTTTATTATTCTACACAATGTCAAAAGGACAAAAATATACGTCAAACCGCACTCTCCATTGGCCATCTATACATACCCGGCCACAGTAAGTTCTTTATAGCTGATAGTGTTAGTATTATACGTAAATCACAAAAAAAAAATTAACTTCGCAAGTTACAATGCCGTTATTAAAATTTACTCGTAGTGGCGGCTGGAAATATTATACGGTGTGTACATGTTGTATTGCAGTGGAGTACCCAGAATTTTTGAATGTGGAAGGGGGGGGGGGGGCTAAGCAAATTAAATCAAAATTTGATATCCGTAACTAATACTGCCAATGGAGGAGGAGGGAGGGCTGTATGGTCTGTCTTAAACACCCCCAGTCCTAAAATGTAATCCCAACTGTTTATGCCTAAATTTTTTAACTTTGACAACTACAACATACCTACAATACATATGTAAATATAACTATATAGGTAGGTATATGGGTATATATTTAATGAAAATTAATAATTTATTCTCAAAATATTTACAGACGACGGATCAGCGCTATGAATTGGCAATTTCTGATTTTAAATTAAGTGCCTACCCGCGTATAACTACTGCCACAAAGTGTTTATTTTTAGAAAAGTCATTGCTGGGGACAACGAGCACTGCAATATTATTGACCCCTCGCATGATTCCTTATTTGGCTGCATATAATATAATGTGATTCTCGTCGGCTATGTAACGTTACGTATTACAATTATATCACATTATACCATGTGTCAATATAACATATTAAATACACATACGATGGCGTATTTACGTTTGGGACTCGCTGCGAATTTGGAGCTTTCTGATGTGTCCGCGTGTCAAGTCCGGTCGATATTGTCATCAGCTAGTCCGAACAAAATTTCACGAAAAGTTGTTTGAACGTTACGAGAATTGTGTGTAAATTTACTTTTTTAAATTATTGTCCACACCGGTCGAAGTGGAAGTAATAATGATAATCATCGCCGCTATGTGCTATAAAAAACATTAACGGGCTGCGCCGTAAATATATATAGAGGCGCCTAAGTTGTAAACTTAGATATACGGGTATGGAATATTATGTATTATTTGAGAGCACGCGACGCCGCAGTGTATATAGTGTACAATATTATGTATAGTACAGAGTGATCCATTTGCATTTTATATGCAGCTTACTAATTATCTAAGTCAATTTTTGTTTTAAAAAAAAATTGTTTAATACGTTTTGATGTATAGTGTGAAGTTTATTGATAATATCACGTTTTTGCGAGGACAAATAGGATATACAGATTTTTACTTTTGTTCTTTATTATAATATATTATTCAGTGATTTTTACGCCTTTCTTTCAAACTTTTCTGAACGAAAACTTTTTTTATTTCGTGATCAAAAGCCAAACATTCGATAATTCAATTTCCAAAAAAATATGATGGATAAACATCGAATGTTGAATACATATTTTTTGATCAATAAGTATTTAAAGTTGGTGAAGGTGAGTGGAAAAGTGGATCACGAGTTTTCCGACCCTATAATTACTGCTTGCCATAATGCTGTTTTACGCTGATAATCATGATCATACTCGCATCTACTATAATAAAAAATATTTTGTTTTTATCAAAATTTACCTACATAATATTATAAAAATACTTCAATAAATGTACAAACATTTTTTTCAAGAACACAAAATTGGACTTGTAAACGAGTGTAATCAGTCAAATGGATCACTCCGTATGTATATTTTTAAATTTTAGTCGCCATTTTGAAACTTCTTCTATATAGTTTGTGTAAGTACATAGATACACTGCATAATAATATACAAAAACGAATATAATATACGTGCTGCACTCGGTCGTTTTTACAAGGTGCGGGCGTCATATTAATATGAGCACCCGCGTATATCAACAAAAATAAAGACGTAATGAATAAGAAAAATTCGTTATTTTATCCGTCCGACCATCAACTGTTCTCGCAGCATGATAATATGACGCAACGAGCATAATAAATTTAATTTACGCAATCAGCAGGACAGGTGCAAGTTTTAATAACAAATACGATTAATGTACAATTTAGGAGGTGTTCAAAGACTCGCACGTCCAATGCGCAAGCACATGTTATGACGGGCACACTTTCGACACAAGTTTCGCCCGAGCTTTTTTTTTCAATTATACGCGAAGATTAGTTTTTCTGACACTCGACAAAGCGGGAAAAGCTCACCGCAGAGAGAGAGAGAGATAGATAAAAAAAAACGTCAATCGAGTAATTTTTTTACGTGACAGCATGCCGAGCGCTGGTTCACTCCGATTAAAGTGTTCTTATGCTGCTGCAGCCATGATAGCGTACATATAATGCGAGTGCTGCGTTTAAAGCCGGGTTTACACTAGGATAGTACTCGGCCGAGTCACTAAAGCATGTTACTAATTTTTGTTTACTTGAAAAATGTGGACATACTATTTAGTTATCATTCCAGTGATGATTTTAGTAAACATTTTAGTCGAGTAAATAGAAACCAACTCTATTTTTTCCACCGAGTGGTCTTTCCACTAGCAGCCGATCATTTACTAAACCAATGTAGACACTACATTTTAGTGCTAAATTTAGTAAAAACGGCGCGAGTAAACAGTGATAAACAGGTTATCACATTTGTTTATGTGTTTATAACTTCACTTTCTTTTTGATTTGTAGTTATTATTTCCATCATTTTTTGCCCTGAACACATTTGTATATTTTTTCATTTAAGATTATTAAATATTTATATGACTAATATGACTCATAAGTGGAACGAAGATACTACATTAAAGTTTGTAGAGGAATATCGTCAACATGAATGCCTTTGGAACATACATTATAATTTATATAAAAATAAGCAAGCGCGTGATGCTGCCTACACTTCAATTGCAAGTGTTATGAACATACCAGACTTTGGAATTGCGGAAGTAAAAACTAAAATTAAAAACTTACGTTCAACGTACTCCCAAGAGTTAAAAAAAATTGAATGTTCCAAAAAATCGGGTGCAGGAACAGATTACTTATATATACCACAAGTGAAATGGTTTAAAGAGATGGAAGCATTTTTGCAAGGTACTGGCAATAAAAGAAAGACTCATGACAACCTTAGCCTTGTAAGTATTAATTTTATTTTTTAACATAATTTAATATTTGTAATAATAATATTGAATACATACAACAAAATACAAAATTGATACTAAATAATTATAAATTATTAGGTAGTAAAATAAAATTATGTTAATAAAATGAATCTAAAAAGAAAGAAAAATAATTAAGTCTTTATAATAATGAGAACTTGTATAGTATAAAATAAAATAAGCTGTAATACTATATTTTATAAAATTAATAAGATTAAAAATTATTATATTATTTTTAATTTAATATATATATATAATAATATTATATAGTTATAATTTTGACATTAATAATTAATATATCATCATTTCTTGCCATGATACTGATCCCTCGTTTAAAAAATACTCCTGATATTTATCCCTTAAATCTCTAGCAGCTTGTGAAGAGTGATTACTTCTTGAATTAGCAATTGGCAAAAAACTAGAATAACTTTGTGTTCTCCATGATCCTTCAGTTATTATACCTTCATCAATGTTTTCTTCATCAACTGATCCCCTGGGCATGTATGACGATACCGATTCCGATCTCAGCCAATTGTGTAATGCACAACACGTTCTAACAATTTTATCAGCAGTTGAGACTTCACAAGAAAGAGGTTTTTCAAAAATTCGGAATCTACTGACTAAAATCCCAAATGCATTTTCTACTATTCGTCTCGCACGAGATAATCGGTAGTTAAAAATTTTTTCACCTTTTGTCAGTTGTTTTCGCGAATAGGGTTTAAGTAAGTATGTTTTTAATGGAAAAGCATCATCTCCTACAATAAACCCTCCATCAGGCAGTATATTATTTTCCAGTGCAGTAAATATTGCACAATTTTGGAAAACGCCACCATCTGATACTCTTCCGTTACAGCCAATATCTATGTAGCGAAAACAATAATTGTCATCTACAATTGCCATTAATACGATACTATTTACTCCTTTATAGTTAAAATAAAAACTTCCACAATGACTTGGTGCACGAATATTTATGTGTTTCCCATCAATAGCACCATAACAGTTTGGGAAATTCCACCTTGTATTAAATCCTTTTTCAATGTTTTTCCACTTTTCTTCTGAGTCTGGTACCTAGAATACAATATTTTAAACTATTGTTATTGTTTTTAGGATACATCAGTTGTAGACTCAAAAAGTCAAACAAATAGTCAATTAATATGTATGGATGACCACGAAAGAGGTGAAGAACATAATATTTCACTTGAAATAAACAATGCCTCAACAATGAATAAAGATTTTACTTCGGATGTTACCAACCACATGGAACAACCAAGGAAAAAAAAATCTAGATTACAAGAGTTATCATCCACTGTGCAACAATTACAAAAATTAAATGAGACTATAAATACTGAATCAAAACCAAATGAATATGAAATTTTTGGGAAACATGTTGCTTCTCAATTGGAGAAATTATCAACTGAAAATGCAATAATTGGTCAAGAACAAATTCAAAGAATATTAACTGAATTAAGGCTTAATGAAATTAGATCTAATGTACCCAATATTTGTTATGCAAGACAAGACATTACTTGTTCTACGCCAATGTCATCATTAGATAGTACATCATCATCAACATATATTTCAGTACCTGAACATTACAGTAACTGTAATAGTGATTTATTAGCTACAGCTATAGCAAATAGTTTTGAAAATTTAAATAATTAGAATTTACAGAGAGTTATTTAGTTTATTAACAAACCATATTATGTTGTATCATTTTTATTTTTTGTTTTTTTACTGCTATTATTATATTTACAAAAAGGTAATGTTTGAAGAAAATAAATGTTAACTACACATTTTAATATTTTATATATGTTTTGTTATTAAAAATGTTACTACTAAATGTACAAATGGTCAATTATTAAGTATTAATAATTATTATAATGTTAATAAATGTTTAAATGTTTACATACAACCATTTTTGGAATAAAATTACAATAAAGCAATACTTTTGTTTTTACCTGTAAAAAATCCTGCAAGTGTTCATAAATTGCATCGCACACTTCAGGAACAAATTTTGAGATTGCAGCTTTGGATACTCGAAATGACTGTTGGAGATTTCTATAACTATTTCCTGTAGCTAAAAATGACAGTGTCACTTGCAATTTTATTTTGGCTGGAATAGCTTCTCTCAAGATAGTATCACATTTTTGAATTCTTGAATAAACTTTATCAAGTAAAGTATGAAACATAGTTGGAGACATCCTCATACAGTTGGTAAATTCAGCAATGTCGTTTTCTACTAGTTCATTTAAAAGTAAATTACTAACACCATGTGTACTTCTCTGTTCCATCCATTTTCTTATCCAAATTCTTTTCTTTCTTTCTTGTTCTTCTTTTATCAAATCCAATAATTCCTGACTGATGATTGATAAGCAACGTTTTGATATTAATTTTCGTATTTTTGCTTTATCCATTTTTGCTTTAGTAAATATAAATAATAATATATAAAATTGAAAATGTTGTATACCTACGTAATA